GCGTTACATTAAGAATTTTTGTATTATCTTTGTATATCGTTCATTTTTTTTTTTTTTTATCTCTGAACCACTCACAGCAAGAGTATATACGCTGCCTGTAATCATCCTTATATACATATATATATTTTATTATTATTGTATTTTCGGCTTCTTTCGTTATACTTTTAATCTTGCACCTTTACGAACGTCATCTTGCAGAGAATTTTAACGTCTAAGAGAAAGAGAGAGAAGGGAAGACAATTTACCTCGATAATTTTTAATATACTACTCGTTTTTCTAATATAACTTGATTAAAACATACAATACTTTGATATCTAATAGTATTCGATTTAGGTATTCGTTATTTACCTAAACGAGGATAGAAGAGATCATTGACCACCGTGTCGTGTTCAGAACACGAATTTAAGATGTCCGAGCTTGATTTTGTTTTACTATCGTCTCTATTAAATTTACCGTGTCTCAAATAGACACGTTTACGACTTGAATGAAAAAAGAAGGAAAAAGAAAGAGAGAGAGAGAGAGAGATAAAACTGTGATAGAACGAAAACACATCCTATATGAACGCAGAATAGTTTTTCCGAAAAAATCTAACATTTAACTGACACATCCGTTAGTTCCTAAAATATTTATAGAAAGTGCTAAATTAAATACATAGCTGTGATAAAAAATACGAACATAACGTTGCCGATTATTTAACTTTGGAAAATAAGATGGAAGAAAAAAAATCTATCAGGTGACTAAACCCCTTATGTTCCATTTCGAATCTTCGAAAGCTAATTTCCCTGACGGAGACGTTTCCGTTCGGCGACCCTTCCCATTGTTGGAATCGCGTAAGGCAAGGGAAAAGGAGAACTAAATCAATGTAGGACATTTATATTGGCTGGAAATCGCTGACTCCTATCGTGGCGGACCGTGGACACCACAGGGACATATTAAGATTTCTGATCCGTCCTGTCGGTCGACAGACATTTTTATTATTACGCCTACCCTCCACTTCGTTCTTCATTCTTCCTTTTCTTCTTTTACTCTGATACCGTCCCCATAGACTATTCCGATCGTACAAGGATATAAAAGTTGAATTATTGTCTATGCGGAATGTCGTTCTTCCAAACGTGATACCGTTATGTGCTTTTTTGCGAATAATTTACTGATCATTTCATGAGAATAAACTTCTATCTTGTACTTGATTTTTTTTCCTGATGAACAATGATTGGTTTCTTTTTATATATATATTTTTTTTTTTAAATAGTGACAAAAAAATGATCGATACCAGCTAAATAATGAATTTTTCTGAACTAATCCAGAAGCGGAAAAAATTAATTTTATGATTTATTTTATATATATATTACAATTATTTATATTATATAATAAATAATAAAATAAATTTTGTTAATACGAAATAGGATATTAATATCGATTAATCTATCACATAAGATATTTTCTTTCTGTCTCTTTTTAACTCTATTCGTCTTTCTCAGTCAAGGTTTTTCCCTCACATTTTCAAACGAAGATCCCTTTGTATTCGTTGATGCGTTACTTTCGGAATATTGCAACGTAATTGGTCGATTCTCACTCCCCACTTCGATCGTGACCAATCGGTGAATGCCAAAGCATACTACACGTTGCTACGACGCCAGTTATTTTCCGTCTCTCGATCTTGTAGGTGTATACAGTTTTAGTGTTTTCTATATTTGAAATTTTCCTCTTATTTACGCGCTTTTTCCGAAAATACAAAATGTTCAATTCTTCATTGGATAAATCGATCGCGACACACATACTCATATCCACGTGAACAGGTAGAATGTATTCTGAGAAGTTCGTAGAAAAGTTTGAAATTTCTAAAGTTTTCACTTACACGTAGTTCTTTACGAGGAACTTTACTACGCGATTCTTTTCTCGTATCCATTACGGAAAGCCGTTAAATCTCATTTCGATGACTGTAGGAAGTTACGAAGATGAGTCGTTAGAAAACTTCAATCCTTTTCTCTTTTCTTTTATTGGTCACTTGATATCACTATGAACAACTTTAATATTTTTCTAAGTCAGTTTAAATGAAGTATTAAGTGTCGAACAAATAGATCCGAAGATATAAAGTAAGATCTCATTGCTTGTAAAACGTTTGTTCTGTGATTATTATAATTTTCGTCAAAATTTTAAGTTTTCAATATTAGTAAAGAAAAAATGAAACTTATATATGCAGCTTTTCTGTAGAAGTAATTCTTTTTTTATCGTAGTTAAAATTTTGTTTAAAGTGCATATTGGAAGAAAGACAAATTGGTAATCTTCCTTGCGATATCTGCGCACATGGAGCCTATATACAAGGAGGACGATAAATGTAGGTACAATATTCACAATAAAAGGATGATTGCTATTGCCACTAGAGAGCGCGTCTAGTCCTTTGGTCTGATTTTTAAATACAGTAATTAAAACAAAAAAACATCCAAGAGAACTATTCATTTGTATTCATTGTTATTTCATTTGTTTATTTATAAAATCACACGTACTTAAATTTAAATTTAAGAACATCACCGCCGCCCCCATGGATAATTATCGTACTCGATATTCAATCATTTTCAACAACACAAATTCGACGCGACGCCTATCTCGATTGTCCTCCTTGTATATAGCTTCGTTTCTGCGTAGTATAATGGTAAAGAAAAACAGCGTGGTACTTGTTGAGGTTATGTTTATAAAGCTCGTGCTAATCGACCATGCATTATGTGCATTATATGTTTCTTTTCATATACTTTTTAAAGATTATAGTTCCCGTTATTACTTGTCGAATGAATTTCATTCATTTTCAAAAGATTTTTAAAACTTTTTATTTTTTTAACAATCTTGTTTTTTTACATTAATACTGTTATTAATACTAAACTAAACTTTGATTTAATATATATAATATAATATATATTACTAATAATAATTAATAATATATAATAACTTTTTAATTAGTTTTCGTAATAAATTATTTTCTTTTTTTAATTATTAATACTTTTCTTTATCGGTTTAATATTCCGAAGTTGTATCATTGAATAACTGTTTATATATAATAATCACAGACTTAAGTTTCAGTATCTTATCTGTTTATTTATTAACATACTTTCAAGTCAAAATAATATATATAAAGTTTAATAATTTATTTAAATGATAAAATTTAAAAGAAAAGATAATCATTATGTTGTTAAGTTAATTGATTGAATATCTAAGTTTAAAAAATACTGACAAAAACTGGTTGAAAAGGCAGACGTTTTATTTGAATCTAAAGAAAAACTAGAACGCAATAAAGCATTACTGTATAAGTTCAAACGAAAGAACTAGACTGAAATAATTGTAAAAAGTGTGAACGGCAAAGTCATTGAAAAACAAATTAGATACTGTGATTGAAAAGGGTAGAATGTGCCAATCACGTAAAAATAAAAGTAGAATGTTATAGAGAGAAAAACTATCAGATATTAAATTCTATATAAACTTAAACATAAGTATTGAAGTATTACGTGAAGTAACAGAGTCGTGGTAAGACGACAAAAAATACTTGAAAATCAATTAAGTTATTCAGAAATTGAACTTGCACAGTAACGCTTTATTGCATTCTAGATAGGCTTCTGTCTTTTCTTTCAATTCTTGGTAGTGTTTTCTAATCTTACAATTAGACTTCTAATCCATTAACCAGCATAATGATAATTTTTTTTTATTAAATTTTGTCACTTAAGTAAATTGTTAAACTTTATTTATTTTTTTAGTTTTTATATTAATAGTTCGATACATTACTTTTCTTAGAGACTTCTCTTGCAATTACAGTATCTTATTTTGATGTATATATTTAATTTTTGAGCTATCATTTTAGTTAATTCTTTCATATGTAGTTAGATAACTGAGCATAAATTATTACTTTCCAAATTTGTTGTTATTACGTTATTAAAAATTAATTAATTAAAATTATTAATTTTTCGTAAATTAGTAACCCATTTAATTTACTTTATGTAATAAACTATTACAAGTTGAACCTCACGGCATTCTGAGGTTTAATTTTCATTCGAAATTATTTTTTTTTCTTTTTTTGGGAACATTGTACTGAATATTCGAAAAGTAGTGTCTCAACATACAGTGTTACAAACGATTCTAAATCATTTAAGAGGACTTCAACATGTATCTGTACTTCACGGATTACCCCGAACAATTTATGGTAATTCATTTAATAATTAAACAAAATATTTAGTTAAAATAATTGTATGCTTAAATTAATTTCTCGTGTAAAGTTGCATTGTTTTTATCAAGAAAAAAAAAATTACTTGGTCCATCTAGAAAAGTATTTTTTTTTTTCATTTTACATCGCAGACGATAACAACTATATCGTGAATTAATAAATAATTGAAATTAAAATCGAAATAATTAATCTCGGGTATTTCTTTTAAGAAATTAAATCTAATCGATGAAATAAAATATCGATTTTATTCATTTTACGATTGCGCAATCGTTCCCGTAGTACTTATAAATGAGTTTACGTTAAATTGAAGCTCGGTTGATTTCTTCTTACACGCGTCGTACGTTCTTGTTTATACCGTTGAATTAATCGCTATTCTTGCCAGAAGCCGCCGTGTCGCAATAGCTAGATTGCTCATCCTAAGATGGATGAACAGATATATAAAAGCGTTGTTTTAACCAAAAGGCACAATCGACATTTCCTTCTTTCTTTCTCCGTCAACGCGAAACCGTCAAAGTTTTTCCATTAGACTTAATCGTATAACCGTAAAAATTAATTTCTTTCGAAAATAGGCTAAGTCAAAATTTGGACAAAAAATCATTTTACTATATTTATTGTTTGAAACCGGTGGTTATGATATTTTGATTTATAAAAATTATAAAAAGTATTAAAAAAAAAATAATAACAAATTGACTTGCACCACTATGAAAATTGATAAGCAATCTGTGTTTTTATTGTTGTTTTATCTATTCCAGAGAAGAATATTATTAAAAATTACTTTGAATTATTTTGTTTACAGTATGGCTCGGACGAATTCGGACAAGACTCTCCGAGATATACCTCGCCAAAAGCTGCGGCCCTTTATGCGGATCCATATTATATCGGTGAGTTAAAGATATGACTTTTTCATCATTATACGTATTTTATATGGGACCGATACACATATTACCGATTCACGTATAAACGTAAATACGTATATGTGTCCTAGGTATCTTTATATTAGTTCGAAATCGCATAACGATTCTAATGGACGATAAAGCGACTTTACGAGCACGGTAATATTCGGCTGTTTAACGCTCGATCGTAAAATTCGGTGCTCTGTCTGTCGCGCGCAAAAACAATAACAATCTTGTTATTTGCTCGTGCTCAACGTTCGAATGTCGAAGCTCTCTCGTTCCAAAGATTTACGAATATCCGTTTCCTGATAAAAAAAAAAAAAGGAATTAAAAACAAAAAATAAAAGAATATTCCTGCGTATGAAATATTTTAATAACCGTACATATATACAGGGTATTTTTAAATAATTATTTCTAATGTTCTAATGTTATAGAGGATTTATATTTAAATATCATTTTGCAATAAACTAAACCGGAAACCTTTTGTAATACGGAAACGCCTCCGTATCGAGATAATACGATATGAAAGAAATGAGGACATGAAATAATATCAAACGTGAATAATAAATCTCTCATTCAATTCTAATGGCTACAAATTAGTGAATTATTTTGTGGAAATAATAGAAAAACAATTATAAAAATGATCAAAAATTGCACTCACCACACTGTTGACATCCAAAAAATAACGTTTTATAACTGCACAAAGAATTCTTCGAAATATCTGTGGTCAGTTACGAAAATCATCAGAGATTAAAATAATATTAGCTATTAACTCTTTTTTTTTTTTTTTGTATTGATATGTATCTCATAAATCATTAATTAATTATAACTTAATTGCATGGATGAGATTGTTAGTTGCCACACATTTTCTTTTAAATCGTATAATTAAATTCAACATAGATCTCATTTCTTTCTTTAGATTGATTTTCGCGCTATATTTAGATTTTAACATAGCAGCTACCGAAACCTAATTTCGCACAATTATGAAGTCGTAAATGGAATAAAAATTATGAAAATTATGTAATATTTCGCGGGAGCGCGTCCTTGTGAGAAAGTCGCGACTCATACTTTGGGAACTACTAACAACTAAAAGATTTGTTAAAAAATTGGTAGCGTGAAATATTTCGAGTTGGTAACAATGTACTTGCGATTCTTTTGTTTTAGTTAGTTGTGTGAAAAAGGTGAATATTAGCAGTAAAAAGAATAACATGTGGTGAGCGAGTGCAAAGATGTTTAAGAAAATATTGTTTTATTTCGGTTAAGCTTAAATGATTAAATATTATAAGAGGATAACTATATGTATATTAAATAATGGTATTAAATCATAATAAATATCATATGAGTAATGATCGAGCACATATTACTGGTTTCGCTAAGTTTAACATTTTGAAAAGTAGTAATAGTTATTCTGAAACACCTAGTATATACGCGTATGTTGTCTGTATTTCATTCTTTCGTCTGATATCGAAATGATTCAATCGATAAATAATGGTACGATACGGTATTAAAAAGAAAGAGATATTAGTTTATTAAGCTTAATCTTTTTCAGACATACACGTATGATTCATCAATCTAAATTGTGATCAATCAATTATATTTATGATTTATCTTTTTAAAACATTTGTTTAGTTTAAAAAAAAATAAAAACAATAAAAAATGTTACGTCCTTTCTTGTAATGTGATTTAATATGATCTGTTTTTAGTCAGGTTATAAAATTTTGAACAGGAATTGACCTAGAACGTTAAGTCGATACAGAGCGACGGGTCAGAAGACAGATCGATAAGGTAGAATGAAAGAAAATGTGATAGGAAAGTAGTCTGAAAATTAAACGAACCTGAAGACAAAGTATTAAAAATAAAGAATCCAAGTTACTTTCCTTTTCGCAAGTAGTGTATTGATTTAAGATAGGTTTCATTGCGATGATAGGTGAACAATGTTCAGTAAAAGTTATCAGAGTATCCAAACTGTTCCAACTAAATTGCAGATTTATTGATTTCCGTGTATAGACTTAGTAGTTTAGTGTATCATTTTCATAAAATATGAAATACAAACTTATTAACTAATCAACAGTTTTACAAGCTGTGGAATATAGACTTATTAATTTATACTGGTTTCATATAGAATGTGTAGAATATATAAATTTATTAATTAATTTATTATATAAGGGGGGACTTTCTGAAAATAAAAGATTTACTTCCTCTTCTGGTTAAAGATATTAACACTTCTAATTCTAATTGGTTTAAAGTTTTTGAAGGTTTTTATTATTTTACGAAGCTAGGTTCGGCGGACGTAAAGTTACGAGAATTAAAACAAATACATTTTTATGAACAAAGATAAAAAAAATCTTCTAAATTATTTATATTTCTAAGAATGTTTAGTGAGCACACAAATGGCATATGATTTGAAGAAGTGTAGGGTATTACAAGTAAATACTGAAAAAGGCACCAGTTACGTTCTAAGTTGGTTCTTAGAATCTATTGTACATTGTTAATAATATTGCCAGGTTAAATACAAAATAATATATGAGCTTGTACGTATTTGGTCGAGGTCAGTAAAATATTATATTGAATTTAATGTACGTTTATCCACTAGAAGGAACTTTCATGAAGATTAGACAGTGGCGAATGTAGCTTTGAAGAAGCCAGAAACGACCACCTGTGTATAAATCCACCAGTGAGACCAGACATTATAATTCGACGTTCTTATGACGTAGTTCTTCCTCGGGATGAATGGAAAGACTTAAATTCGTATCCTTGCATGTTTTATTTAATCATTTAATTTAATTCAATTGATTGAATTTATCATTATATATCTTAACGTTATTAAAGAATTCTTTGAACCTTCCTTTTATATGGCATTTCAATAATAAGGATTGCATCTTTTTTCTTTTTCTTTCGTATTAAAAAAGTAGCTTTATTTTTTATAATTATTTAAATTATAATTAATTAAAAACCTTCCCCTAATATTTTTAACGAAAAAAATCATAAACATATAGGAGAACGTATACGAAAAACGTAACAAAAGAAATAATATATTTTTCATTTAAAATCATGATGCGCCATGTTTGTAATATTAAAAAAAAATCGTATAAATAATAGATAGAAAAAAGATATTTTTTATTTGATGACCACCCGGTAGGCAGGCCTTCCCAGCGGCTTCTTATAAATGGAAGTCACGAGACAATACCAGAGGCGAAAAGTTTTATCAAGCATCGAATACTGGGTAGTTTGTAGAAACACTCCGAATAGTTTGGCTTAGTTTCGTTTCTCTCATCGTGAGAGCTAGCCTAACCCAGGATCTAGAAAAAGAAATTATATCAAGAAAAAGTATCAAGAATAATGTTTGCGGACAGCTTATTGTCGTTGTTTCCAACTAAAATAAAAGCTTATACCTTTAGCGGATAATTTTCTTTTATACGAGATATCACCAAAAAAAAATATATCGAGGTTTAGTTGAGGTAAGAGGTTTTAAAAATGTATTTGTGTGTGATTGAGATTTACCATTGAGTTAAAATATCTTTTAATACGTTTTCGTTGGCCATTATGTATATATACGAGCACGTGTGTGACATCCTTTGGTCATCGAACATGCCACGTGCCACTATTTGTTGTTCCACGCTTTCGAGTGTCGTCCTTGTGAAAATTGCCCCTATCGATTGATTGTAATATAATTCTATGGTTATACATAAATTGTATATGTATAGTAATCGTAGCTCTCCAACAAGGAGACAAATAGTATAGATACTAAACAAATGAACAATGAAATTATTCTGAAAATCAGGTTTATTGTCAAGATAAAAAGAAATCTTACCACAATTATAATAACAATATAATATAATAATAATAATAATATATTTAGCGTAAAAATATTTAGTTTGAATACTAGCTTTTGAGAGATCACTGATCCCATACTCGTTACGAATCAAAATCATGCGTACTATTCGCTGGTGTTAAGTAAAAAAAAAAATATAATCGATGAAATATTTGTTGTTTTTTTACTTACAGATGGAAATGCAGCGGGTACGGGTCCTGGTGATCCATGGACGGGAGGTGGCGGTGGCGTTCAACCCCCGTATAGCGGATACGCTCCCCCTCACCTGGCTCAACCAGCCTACCCCATGCACCTACCCCATGATCCCATGGTAAGTTTCCTTACATTTTTCCCTTTAGATTTATTCCCTTCTTTTTCTTTATTCGAGAAAGTCTGACAAAGAACGATCGATCATCGACTACTTTGACTTTCCCTCTTTCTACGAACATTTTTCGTCCAACTTTTTTTTTTTTTTAACGAATCACAAGAGAAAAAATTTAACTTCGAAAAAAAACCATATTACATCAAAAGGTGCATCAGCGTATAAAAACGTTTTGTAATTTTGCTGGTAGGATTCAGTTAGAGTTAGACGATAAGAAGAAGAAACATAAGTGAAATTATAAAAAGATAGGAGGAGGAGGAGGAGGGTTCTTTGAAAGATGTGACCTTCGAATTGATTCGTTGACTCGACATAGCGTAAATCAAATCGAGGAGTTTCGAGATCGAGTACCGGTTGAGAGGCACTGTTGACAGTGCTCCATGTACGCGGAGTAACGTCAAATGAGTCATTGGATGCTATATATAGAATCGCCCTCCCGCTACTTCGTGTTTCTAGTCAAGTGCAGCCTTCGTTTGATTTACGTTGTCCATGGTTACCACGAAATTCTCCTCTTCGTGGCATCCTGGATACCCTACCATCATCCATCTATCCATCCATCCTCTTCCTAACTCCCACCCGCCCCACTCTCTTCCTTTCCTTTCTTGCACCGTCGATCAGTTTATCTATAATTCCATCTGTCCTTCTTTTCAATTTTCTTCGATTCGATTTGAGAAGATTATTCTGCAAAAAAAAACAACGATCTCGTTAAAGTTATTTACAAGATTTGCGAATTTGTAGTGTCACAGTTCACGGCCAGCAGGCCCCTTCAGGGTAATGGGATTTATTTTAGCCTGTTTTTTGTTAAGAAGTAAGTACACTTCTTTTATTGTAGATGCCCTTGAGATTGATTTAAGCATTGAAATGACGGAACAAGAAACAACAAATTTAAGGAAATTTGTGGAATTATTAGAATTCGAAATAGACACTAAAAAACAAATTAAATTTATCAATTTTATGAAAATATGAGATTAATGAATATGATTCTAATGATAATAAAATTAGAATAAAGTAATTAGATATCTTCACTTATATTGTATAGATTTAAGTTTTCACCGGTAATGATCTGAATAGAAAACGGAAACTACAAAACAGTTTCAGGATTTTGTATTATCTTATTTTAGTTTTTGTTATTTTCATAAAATATTTCATGCGAATTTTCGGTACGAAGAAAATAGAAAACACCATAATACACAGTGAAGTACTATCGTGACTCGATCTACAATTCGAACTTTTCGTAGGCATCCGAGCTCTTAATTTGTTGATAAATATGTGCCTCTATACGCCCTCGACGGTGCTTAAAATTAGACGTTTTACGAGCAATTTCAGTAGGTGCAAGAGAGCGCTATCCCGCTAGGCGTATCCGATATCAAAGCTGATGTTTTAAGTTTAAAGCGAAGTAATATAAGAGGGGAAAAAAAAGAGTCTGTTGAAAAGTAAAGATTTTATTTTATTAAAAAAATGTGGAACGATTATACATACCATGCATCATGTATGTATACATCAAAATTTGTGATAAAGTAAAAAGATTTTTTTTCTCTCGTTTTTTTTTGTTGTTCATTTGTGTTGGTCGTTTTTCATTTTATTTGTTGTTCTAACATCGGTAATGTTTGCAGGCATACTCATCGATGTCACCGAACGGCGAACCAGCAGCGCCAATCCTTGGTTCGGCTGTAACCAGTGCGGCTTCCCTTCCGCCGATGTCGACATTCCGGGGTAGTGCGGCTGTTGCGGTAGTAGCAGCGGCGAACAGTGGCACTGGAGCACCTTCTCCAGCATCTTTGCAATATAGTCATAGTCCTGGTGCACCAACCACTGCACCATCGGCGCCAAATGCCGCACCCACCAACAATCAACAACCACCTACGGGGGACACTCTTGGCAAGACTCTTGCCTCTGTAGTGAGCACAAGAGTACGTTTTCTTCTTTTTTGTAGTCATGTGTTTTTAATCATATGATATTATCATACATAAATATTAAATATAAATAGATTTTCTTGATATTTCTTTTTTATTTTTATTTTTTTCACGATAAACTTCATCTAAATCATAAAGATTCTTGAATGAATCATATTTGATCTATATACCGGCATAAACGAGTTAACGTTATACGCAGATTTACGACCACGCTTTGTGATAAAAGAACAAATGTCTTGTTTGTTTTTCATACCAACTGTGAGAAAAAAGAACATTGTCTTTCGATTTCCCCTTTTCAACAAATTCTTTTTTAAATTTATCTCGAACTTTTTATGTTTGTAATCCTGTTTATTTTTGTTTATTATTATAGAATGCAATTTTATCAGCAATATGATTCTAAACGAAAACGTGAATCATCATCGAGTAATGAATATGTTAGATAACAGTAACAAAATTAAGTATATATATTTAGATGAAATGTTTGTATTACAGATCTATCCCACGGACCAATCAGTATCGAGTTACAGCAGTAACCCATCCACTCCAGTTAGTTCACCACCACCTTTAACGGGATCGGCACCAAGTTGGGCACCTGGTGCTGCACCAGTATCGCCACATTTTACGGCAGATCCCAACCGTGGCACTATTCACATGGTACGCACTGAAGCTTTTCGCGAGAAAAAAAACAAAAGATACTACTATCTTTGGTAATCTGTTAGAATTCGCATATCTTCGAGGAGATTAATCTGGTCAAGAGATTTCATTTTTATTATATATTATACTTTTCGATTCCTTTAATATTTATCGACATTTAGGTTTATATATCAATCTATGACTATGAAATCTCTTCGGAGAATATTTTAAATGCGAGTTTGAACGTAAACACGACTCGTCGTTACCGGTATGCTTAAAAAAAAAAAAACATTCAAAATACATGCATACATATACAAAATTCGTATCACATTTTTTTTGTTTTGTTTTCTTTTTCTTCACTACGTTAGCACATAATTTTTTTGCATAATATTTTGAACGTTTTCGAATCGACACGGAGAGAGCGTAATTAGCGCTTAGATGGCTGCACGCACGCACCACTTCGTTATTTTTATTCCCAAGGATGGGTTCTAGATCATTTTTATTTGTAATTAAAAAAATATACGATTCTTAAAACGAATTTATGAAATATTTCGCGTTTAAAGTGTATTCTTTGATTTTTTTGGGGGTGGGGGGAGAGAGCGAAGAAAAAAAGAGAGATGAAAATTTGATTATCAAAATCAATCGTCTCGATCCTTCATTTTACACGTTTTGTTCTCACCATTTCTCCTTGTTTGTTGTGAGCGTTGTGTTGACTTGGTTGTTTCTTTTTTTTGGTTTTGTTGTTGCGTTGGTGTTTTGTGTGAAGCCGGCGCCTGAACAGCAGAGGCTAGACGATGCCATCGGCTTCCTTCGCGACCAAGTCGAGGTGAGGATTGCCGATTTTGTTTTTTTATTCTTTATTCAGTTTTCACATTATTCTAATTAAACACGAATATATATATATATTGATTTATGCATGCCCGTACCATGACAATGCGTGTTCATAATGTCTACAATAATTTATATGCTCGTTTAAAAATAAATCCAATGCTTTTTAAACATATTTGGGACCGGCAACAACATAGTCCTACGCTGTTAAATATTAAATTTAAATTGATAATTTGTTTATTCCATTTTGTTTAATCAATTTTGGTAATTTTATTATATTTTCTTATATATTTAACTTATTAAATTGTAGTATTATTATTTAATTTGATAATATATATGTTTTATATACTTCAATTATTACATACGATATCTAGTTAAATGTCTCGCTTATAAAACGCCGGTCACGAATGTGTGTAATTATAAACGGCACAAAAAATATTTGTTTATCATGAAACAGAGCACACGTTTCATTCATGAAAAATGGGTTTTTTTTTTTTTTTATAGACTGGTATTCGCTTTTACTTTTTTTTATACAAAAACTAACACTAGCGATCGTACTTTTTAGAGCATGTCAACAAATCGTCGCCGTTCATTTATAGTATATATATTTACACATTTTTCGAATTAAAATTGAAAGATATATATATCTTATTGAAAATATAAAAAAAAAAGATAAAAACAAATGATTTTATCGAAAGTTAGATAAGAATATTAAAATAATGTGAGAATAGAGCTCGCGATGGTTTACAATGATATTATTCATCGACAAAAATGATTTTTAAACCGACGTGTAATCGAGTCAAATTCCTGGTATTCTGTTGGTACAGGGAACGCGGATGGAGGAACGATTGGACGATGCCATAAATGTTCTCAGGAACCATGCAGAAAGCCAATTAGGCATTCACTTAGGACCTGTTGGTCCTCATGGTTCTATTTATTCTCACACATCACCACCGCAGTTGGATCATTTGGTAAAGGCTTTTATAAAGATTGATTATTACGTTAACATCGCAATTTTCTTTTTATCATAATAGTAAAGATGGATTATTTTCTTTCAGACAAGTCCACATCCTGCGGTAACGGTAGCGCAACCACCGGGTTCATATCCTGGTCTTACACCAACACCCGACACGGACGGTTCTATTAAAATAGAAAGGTTACCTGTTACAAATGCCAGTAAGTTGACAACATGATAATGATGACAATGTCAATCTAAGTTTATAAAAGATTTACGGAATGAAAAAGAGGTCATTGACACGTCTAACATCACGATTTTCTATTCCTGCCATAAAGTAATATCTTCGTGTAATATCTATAAAATTGCCCTGTCAGTCTTGACAAAGAGTTTCAAGCAGAGAAACATAATAACATATTGCTTTATCGTACCGTTCTATTCTTGGCGTCGCATCATCGGACGATTACTTTTCCCATGAGTTCTGCAAAAGAAAAATAAAGAAATAAAAAAAGATGGTGAGAGGAGAGGAGGAACGTTAGCAGGTGTCCCACGATAAAGAATTCTAACCCGATAAGGAAATATTAGATAAATCACTGCAAACTCGATAGTAGAGTTAGTCGTAAGTGTTGCATGTACCTTTATCATTATCCCCAAAGACAATCCGTTTGTCTTTTTCTCTTTACCGCCTCGAATCAGTATCTCCTTTCAGCTTTTTATCTTCGTTTCCATTATGCCAGCAAAGAGAATGCACAGAGTCCTTCTTCTTCTACGGATTAGGAGAGCTACCGTTGCTCTCGAGCTGTGGAATGCAGGACTTTTCCGTGGACACACTAAGAAATATGGGTTTACTACATTCTGCATTACCACGTCAGAAATATATTTTTCTATCTTCGAAGGCTTCCGATCGTATTTGGTTATTGGAATTCGGGACATTTCTTTAGATCATAGATGCATCTTTGGAAATCTAAAAGTCGTATATCTTCGATTCAGAAAAGTCAAATAATATTTCGCTTCAAAAGTTTATCTCTTAGAAATATTACCGAACAAATTTTTCAATGTTTTTATTCTTTTTTTATTTATGTTTTTTCTTTTTCTTTTTCTGTTTTTTTTTTTTTTTTTGAAGGAAAATGTAAACAGAGTTTACTACCTTAGCACACAATCCTGATTCATATCGAGATTTCTTTTTTTGTATGGTTTGTAAAATATACGAATTCGATCTATACGCGAGTCAATATACGCTTAGAAAGGAGTTGGTGAATTGTCAGACGAGAGAGAGTGCATTTAAGGAGATAGCTGAATCGGAATCGGAGCTAAACCCATAAGCAGTGTGTTTCCTGCTGGTAATTGGATGCTTTTCACGGTTTCGTGACTAAGCCTTCTGCCCAAAGCACATGGATAATCGAGAGATGTATTCTCGGCCGTGTTCGACGAAGGTCGGCTTACTCGTACCTTTTGTTTCCGCGTGAACGCATATTCCACGTCTGTAGTTAAATACGAACGATGATCCGAAGAAAGAATACAACATAATATAATATGTACTTATATGTCTTGATCATGATCCAATAAGTTTCATTTCTACGAATAATATCCCTCTATTCTTCCGTGAATCCTTTTTAAGCATATAAATATTATTTATTGTTACACTATGAAGATGCTAAATTACATTATCAATAATGAGCAGAATACATCTCTTTAGAAAAGAGAAAAGATCCACCGGACAGTAGCGGCGGTGAAACAAAACCTTCGAGTAGCGAATTAGCAGCTGCTGGTGTAATTGGTACGGCGACGGTTAATTCGACGTCACAAGGAAAAGGAACGAAAAGGTCGCGCAGGTAGTAAGTATCTTTAAAGCTTATTTATTTCTCGGATTGAATAATTTTATCTTTCCTTTTTTTCTTTTTATTTCTTCATTTTTTCTAACATAAGTCAAATTTGTGAACGCAACGAATGAAAATATACAATGACGAACAAAAATATTAGCACAAAATAGGTGAAAAAATGAGTGAAGCTTCATGAATGATAAAGTTTGCTGAAAAAATAGGCGTAAAATTGTACTTATTACTGATTTATAGAAAATGTTATAGAAAAATGCAGTTTATACCAATATTTTTGTTCGCTACTGAATATACAGGGTATTCCAAAAATCGTTTCACTTAGAAAAGAAGAATAAAACAAAATATCAATATAGACTTATCGATAGAATTACAATATTTTATTTTTCATTTCAATAGGAATCTGCAGTTATAGTGGTGTTAAAAAAGTATAGGTCTACGATGTTGCAACTCATAATAATAACAAAAATTTATAATTTTTCGGTTTGATAAAACGACCTTTGACATATCCTGTACACATTTTATATATCTTTCTTTCTCATATAAATATCTATAATTATTTATTACAATTACTCTCGTGAATATACTACTCATTGAAGTATCTCACCTATTAAGTTTTTTGAACTTACCTGAACTAACATCTTGTGTCTTTAAAAAACCGTTGTTCGAGTGCTGACGAAGATTGTGATGATCCTGGCACCAAAGCGGTGCGTGAAAAAGAACGTCGACAAGCCAACAACGTTCGTGAAAGGTTAGTGAACACACGCAGTATGCACACATTGTTATATCCTTTTTTATACCATCTATTATTTTTTCTATCTTTATATATATATATATAGTACCGTTATATTGTATACTTCAGTTAAATCGTGAAAACCCTAGGCCCCATTGAATGAATAACTACGAGCACTCATTGTTCGCTTTTATTTTATTTTCGTTTTCATAGTTTTCAAAATTTTCAAAGGAAACTTAGATTAATCCCTTAAATCAATAGAAAAGCTCTATCTCGAAATTGGATAAGCCTTAAAATGAAGAAACACATATTTTTTGTCTCTGGATTTACAACAGTACAGGTATAGGCAGGTATTTTTTTTTGTTTTGAGACTAAATCGAAGAATATTTTTCTTATATTTGGGATCAAATATTAATTATATAATTTAACAGATCAGTATAGCTATTTCGTGTAAAACCTAGGTTTCTCACGAATTAACGGATTTCACAAAGTAACGGAAACATATATTATATATATATATTTTCTATCCACCACCTATCCTGAATTCTTTTCAGGGTACGATTCGTCTTAATTTTATAAATAATTCTAAAGTATATGACATGCACAAGAGAAATATTTCTATAAAATATATATGCACAATATTACTATTATAAAATATATATATATACATGTGTATGTATATATGTATTTGTGGCGTAAATGGAGAACATTGTTGCGAAATTAATTATATTTTCTCCTTTAAACTTGGCATGCATAAACTTTTGATTATTAAAACATCCTTGTGACATTCCTAAGACCTTGAAATCCGTTGCACTGCAAGGCCCGTATTCGAGCGTGAAAATTAAAATGTTGCTGGTTATCGTCAGAAAATAAGACGAAACAAGATAAGTAAAAGAGAAAAAAATATTTAAAATAAATAAATTAATAAAAAAAAAAAAAAAAAATACAATCTCTTGTGCATATCTGCAAATCAGTTTCATTTTAATTCGATTGCGATTCGGTCCCTAGGCATGCTATTTTGTTAGAATATACGGCACTATGTGAAACATTAATTGAATATTGCATTGATTTCTCCATTTACGTAGAGTTTATTTTAGTTTTGTATTTTTTTTATTCTCATTCTAGATGAAGATGTGTACAAGTGCTAAATTATTTTTTAGGCATCATTTACTTGTAATCACGAGTGAAATTAATTCTTGTCGTTTATTTAAAAAAAAGTAAATAAAAAAAAACAAGTATTATTTTATATTTTTTTATTTACTTATTGTGCTAAATTAATTAATGAGGAAAATTGATTGTAGAATAAAACGATTTTTTTTTAATGTGCTTCATCGTGCAACATATAATTGCATTTTCATCAAAGTATAATTTAAAATTTTCATAAATAAGGAAACATCATATATTCTGAATTTTTTAGGTAACGACATCAAATATGAGCTCAAGATTTTTTTATCCACAAACGCCAGGAAATATTATTGTAAATTAATAATAAATGCAGATATTCATCATCGATATGTTCGGTGCAAAGAATACGGGCCTTAAAAAGTGGAACTTACTTTTTTATTCATGACCACAGTTCACAGATTAAAAACAGCTGCGTGTGTTCATTAATATGTTATCATGAAATATAATAAACATATAATTTTATGAAAATTATGGTAATCCTGCTCGAACAACTGATAATCATTATATTTTTATTATAAGCTTAAACTATGAAAGTTCATCTACTGGTCTTGATTAAAATTAAACATTTGTCTACTATCTTAACGATGGTAAATTATTTTCATTAACTAGTTAAGGTTATAAAATTACTTATGTCAGGTGATTAATCAAGTATTGTTATTGCGTAACTGTTGTTCGAGCGCTGAGGATGAGGATGACGACCCTGATGTGAAAGCGCAAAGGGAGAGAGAGAGGCGACAAGCAAATAATGCTAGGGAAAGGTAAGCGCATACCAAAGATATGCACTGATGCATTTATGTGATTAAATAATCCAGTGCTATATGTGGCCCGTATTCTATGTATGTGTGACAACGATGCTCTGATTTTATCTTTAATTCTATGAATATTTAAAATGATCTTCGTAATAGATAGAAATTTTGTCTTGAAAGTTAATATTATTGTAGTACTTATACATATATACATATACATATATTTAATTTATAATAACATTTGTATGGTCAAATTCCTTTGTATTTGATATAGTTTAAAGATTGTGGGTGGAAAGGATATTTTAATTGTTTTATCTTTCTATGCTAATGAAAAAGAATAATTTCCTAATGGATCTATATAATTCATTACAGGATACGTATTAGGGACATCAATGAAGCTCTAAAAGAACTTGGAAGAATGTGTATGACACATTTAAAGACAGACAAACCTCAAACGAAGCTTGGTATCCTCAACATGGCTGTTGAAGTTATCATGACACTTGAACAGCAAGTTAGAGGTATAACTTTGTTCATTTATGTTATTTTTTATCAAGAAAATATCTAATTAATTTGAATAAATATTATCTCTCATTTTCGTAGAACGAAATCTTAATCCAAAAGCAGCATGTTTGAAAAGAAGAGAAGAAGAAAAAGCAGAAGATGGACCAAAGTTACCTGGTCATTTAGCTGCGCACATAACACATCCACATCCTCACCCTCATGCACATTCTCAACCACCCTTTCCCGCGATGCCTGTAAGTATTTGGTTACTATCATATTTCTAATTTATTAGTTATATACAATTTTAACAATTTCATATTTTTTAGGGTCCACCACCTTCCCTTCAACACAATCCAACGCAGCCACAGTAGCAGCGGCTCTGCGGCGGTATCATCCTGTGTTAAGGGGTAGATACACCTTAAAATTGGCTAGTCTACAAATATGACTTGCATGTACTTATCAAAACTTTTTTCTATCCTTATTGGCTAAGTATGCCAAAATATAATAGTATTATCTCGATTGAGATTTAAGTTTATCGTCCATTGTTCAGTATTTTAATAGTGACTTATGATTTAACATTAATGGCACATAATTTTCTTTTTTACTTTTGAAATACATATAAGTATGTAACAGATATGTATGAAAGACCGATTATATGAAACGTTACGGTTATATGAAACGTTCAATGAGACATATGTACCAGTAATGGATTAAATATAAACATTGCACAAATTTATTTTATGATTTATTTTATAAAATAATTCTTAAAATAAATCATAAAATAAATTTTCGTTATTATTTGACTTATGATAGTCCACTATTATAATTACCGGTACATATGTGATCTTTTAATATTTTATTTGAAGCCATTATATAAGGAAAGGAAAAAGTACCGATTTGAACTAAGGCAAGCATAGAATAGGTAGTCTTAAGAAGCATCTACCCCTTTAAGGCGGCTTGAAATTATTTTTATAAATAGCAAGAAAACAAAGGAATATGGTTCCTCTCTTTCGAGATATAAAAAATTTGTAGTAACGATCGAGATTTCACTAGCTCGATTTAAGCCCCGTTGTCGGTATATATATTGACTCGCTTTTATGACCTAATATAAATTGAACTTACAGAGAATCGTGGAATTGACGGTGTTTAAAATAAATCGACTACACGGTGATCATTATAGTTTTCAATATCACTTTAATAGATAATTATTTACAATTTATGGAATGCGCTATTTTGTAAATTTTAATTTTAATGCTAAAAGTATCAGCCTACTTTTCGGTCGCTGAATAAACTTTCTAGATTATATTTATGCAGAGATGATATTTACAAATTTATATGAAAACTCATTTAAATTTAATGATTTGATTTATTGACACAACATCAAAAGTAATTTATTCTTTAAAATAATAACGGCACATACCGAAGTGAATACAATTATTGATGTAATGATAGTCTGTTATTTTCTATTTCTTTGTTTCAAAGCTTGCATAATAGAGATATTATTATTTCCAAAGAAACTTGGAAAGAATTTATCGGCATATCGATTGGAACTGTGATAAAATAGCAACAAATATTAAGGAATGTGGACGTATGCAACAGGTATGATAAACTAATAGGTCAAAAAAGATATTTTACATTATGTATGATTTTTTAGAAACACTGCCGGATAATTAAAGTTAAATGTAATTAAATTGAACGATTTCATATTTCAGTTTCAACACAGTCATTAGATTGCTCTAGTTCCATTATGTTCACGAATGTCGATAAAGTTGCGGATTCTGTGATGGAATCGTTCGAAACAGGATTTAATTTTATCAACAGAAGTGATAAATATTAAAAAGCTACATGTTTTGTGAAAAATACACTAAAGCCATATAATATAAAGAAACTTTTCATATTACAAAGAATCTTATTATTGGAAGATCCTAACAAAATATATAGTCTTTGTAAATATGCCATAGTGTTTCACAATTCGACGCTTTATGACACGAATTAAGGTATGAAGAAATCAACAATACATAATGCCGATAATTATGATAGTGGATTGAAAAGGTGGACAACAAATTTTGAAATTTCTTTCTCGTCCGCTGTTTTCATTATTAAAACGTATGTATCCAACACTAACTTACTAATGATTTGTTAATTTATATGAATAGGCGTCTATAAAACTGTTGTCAATGATTATGTAAGATTTTCATTCAAAACTGACTCGAAGCTTTTTTTCTATTTAACAAATTTATTTCAAATTGTTTTATTTCTCTTTTCTTTTATTTTCTACATGACATAATATATGATTTTTAAATGAATACTTTTTAATTTTATTTGTTTTTTATCACTGACTACATAAATTATTTTGAAAACAGAATTTATTTAAAAAATTGTCTGTAAAAAAAGTTAAAAAGTAAAGTCAGAGATCTAAATCTATTTTAATATTATTATAATCAGTGTTGGAGCATGTCAATTGGGATTAAATTGGCGTCTTCCGTTTATTCCACTGTTATTATGGCTAGTATAAATGTATGTGAGAAAATTTTCTAATACAATATAAAATGAAAAGTTTATAAAATTTTCAATACTGACATTATCTTTGTTAATAGGAAACCATAATTGATTAGTTAAATGAAATGCAGGTTTTCCTATCTCGTATTTAATGAAAATGTAAGCAGTTTGTATTATAAATTATTTTATTAGATAAATTCTTTATTTCTCATAAATGATTATACGGACCTGAGTGAATCGAATCGAGTCGAATAAGTGTTATTTGATTTTTAAAATCAAATAAATATATATTTCGATTTATTTGGACTATTACTAAATCAAATAATCGAGACGCATAATTCATTTGATTTGGTAAATCACAGATTATTGGACTGGATGATTTTAATATCGAATAAAACGGTTTACTCATGTTTAATTAGGCATTTTAAATGATGTTATTAATGTACGTATTGTAGTTCGTTTAATATCATTAACTGCAGAGAAAAAGAGAGAGCTGTGTATATGTTCTTGTTACACTTATCTTCTGCAAATGAAAACTACAAGAAAAAAAAAATTGAAAAAAAAAAAAAGAAATGTTTTAATCCATGTATCATATATATTTAATCGTTTATATAGAACTTATTTGTAAAATATATCTTTTTCACAATGAAACACTCGCCGATGGTCGTTCAATAATGACAATTTAATGAGAAGTCGTGTATTGTGGTAGATCTCACAAGGTATTTTCTACCAAATCCAAATATTCTACCTCTGTCTCGATAATTCTAACGAGATTTCGTTGAGAAAATACAAAGACAATATAAAAACTTTCAAACTATTACCTGTTAGAACTGATTGTTCAAATAAGGTATAGCTTACGTTGCAAAAACATATGATGCATTGTTTGCCAAAGTGTTGTACGATGTATAGCGTGACGCTAATTTTGCATATCTATCGTGTTATCATATTATGCTTTCATGTCAGGGATATGTCTTTAATATACTTAAAACGGGGCATCTTTATAGATGGAGATAACAAAACGTGTACATAAAATAATTCTTTTTTTTATATATATATATATACATACATATATACATATACAAATATATATACACATACACACATGATTTCTTCACAAACTAATATTTTATACCAGTAATTATTATTAACATAGCTGACACAAGAAGCTACAACCCAATTAGGAAACAATAAATCGTTTGCGTTACTTTGACGAAATAATGCACTGGCCAATATCCATAAATTTATTGCTATATTATATGGAAATAAGTACAAGTTTGTAAAGTGCTATCTTATACATAGTATTACCCAAGAAACATTAAGTTTTATGTTTTTTAACATATTTCTTAATTAAATCAATGAATTTTATACTTCATAAATTTTCATCGATTATTCTAGATATGTTTACGTACATGCTGCAATTGATGAAAAAAAAAAATATTTAAAAATATTGTTAAAATGTTAAACATTTTCTTTACGGTATGAAAAAAGAACCTTACCTCTACATTCAAATTTATATATAATATCTTCTATTATACGAGTCGAATTTAATTATCTAATAAAGCAGTTTTTTTCCACTTTTTTATCGCGCATAACAAACGAGATGCATAACTGAAAAGAGATATATAAAGTGAACGTTTTAACCGCCTTACTTCGTATATTGTCTATACGTAGATTATTTATCGCCAAATTTGAAAGGATTATATATTTAACAGGAATTTATTATTTTTAATTAGAATTTAGAAATTAATCGATAATAAAATTCGATTATGTTCAAAAAATGTTGATACTTTCGTTAAAAATGGATGAATGAAAAAGAAAAACGAAAATGTTTTTTCGATAAGAAGTTATCTTTCAAGTCAAGCATATCAGTATAGCTTTTTTTTATATCATTAGATGTATAAAGTTTCAATCGAGTCTATTTGTATTTGTTAATCTAAATCAATTATCCTAATTCTCTGCGAGAGAGAGAGAGAGAGAGAGAGAGAGAGAGACGAGTTTAAAAGTTATCGATTAATTCAAATTATTTTGGTAACTCTAAATGAAGTATTCTTTGTCGATATAAGTAAAATCAAAAAAAGAAAAGAGATGAATAGGTCTAGTAATAAGGGGTAAGGGGTGAAGATTTAAGGTATAAATTTGCACCGTGTAGCGAAGAACGAAGGAAGCTCTGCCAATTCCACGAGTTCGAAATGCGTTCAATATGCGTTGTATAATTTTAAATGAATGTATTACATTTTCATTTTCTTATAACCTCACGGATCATTCATAATTTATATTTTATGATCGAACTTCCAGCTACTTTAAAAAATCCTACTTGACAATGAAAGTTATATATTTTTCGACGTGCAACCGTTGTTCGATATCAAAAATGCTTTTAGTTAGAGAGAAAGATATAATGTTTCATTTGTTTTTTTCTTTTTGTATTATATTTTTTTAAAATTTTATTTTTCCTTTCAATGGATCATTCCCATATGGCCTAATAACGGTGAAATAAATGATTTATCTCGGAAAATGAATAATCGATCGTCATACCAACTTTCCGATTGCTCGACGCTTCGTACTTATGTGTATATATACAAAGCATGCACATTCACACGTCTATATAGAAAATTATATATATTTCTTTTCCAAACACGGATTATCTTCTTCTGAATAATTAAGTGGCGTTTATAACGATTCGTTAAATCAGAGATTTATTATTATTATTATTATTATTATTACTATTATTATTATGATTATTNTCAGTTAATGAGTCCAATATCCTGTGCACGAACACAGGATACCACAAGATAATTCATCAGTTTCTGTGATTACGTTGATTATTACTATTATTATGATTATTATTATTATTATTATTATTATTATTATTATTATTATTATTATTATTATTACTATTACTGTCATTATTATAAGAGCACTTTGATCATCTATCAGAAGTTATTAAAAACTTTAAACGTAAACGTTTGAGAAGAACTCGTACAACCTCGCTCCACTTTTAATTGTTAATATTCATTTATAACACTTTGACGGAATCGTATAATTCATGCAAAAACTTAGCGTCTCACAATTAATTTACATAGGTCATAAAATGTTACTAAGAATTATATATTATGATTCCGGTTAATGATGTGATTGGCAAAGTGAATTCTCCATTTATATAAAATTGGCCGATAATTGCCTAAAAGTATAAAATCATGTTTGCGTGATATATTGGCCGATAACTAATGGGTAAAGAAATCATGCGTATATATATATACTTGTTTACTTACGTAACAGCGGCTGTCAAAGTGTTAATATGCACCGGTTGCATTGGTTGCGCGTTACGATCAAACAAAATAGTAGATTTATCTAATTGTCAGAGAAAGACAGAAAAAAGAAAGAAACAAAATATGCCTATAGATTGCAAAGTGAAAAATAAAAAAGAGAAAGTTAATTGTACATTGTGCGAGCTAAAATAAAAAGAAAGACATGAATAAAGGATAGGAAACGATTTACACGCACATATACACCACACACACGTACATATATCCAAGGGAAGTTAACGTATTATACACTTGTGCTCGCGAAGGTAATCGTGTAAGATAATAACGACAATAAATAGCTCGTAAGCCAGTGTAAGCTAGGCACCTGTCGATAGTCTTACTATTAGTTAGATAGTCAAAGTGAAGGAAGATGAGACGAGAAGCTTGAAAATAAATTCGGTCGAAGTTATGAATTAACGATGAATTAACTCCTTTCCGTGTTTACTTGAGATGCGTCACGTATATATTTTATTTGTTGTGATTCGTTAAACATCTTAGAACATGTAAATTCGTCATCGAAGAATTTTTATTATCATTATTACTATTACTATTACTATTATTATTATTATTATTTTTATTATTAATATTATTATTATTATTATTAATATTATTACTATTATTATATATACTGTGAGTCACATTAGTACTCGTACTCGCCTTCACTGTAAATTTGAAATAATTGATATTTGCTTGTAATGCAAATTTTGAAAATTCTTATCCACAGAAAGGAATTTAGGATTATTCAACTTTTAAATCAATATATAAATATGATTGCAGAAAAACATTTTATTGTTAGAGAAATATATATATAATTTGATATAAATGATAACAAAATTGATCTTACAAGACTATTTGTACGTACACAAAATATAATAATATAATAATATTTTTGTAAGTGGTACTTAGCCCTTCTTTACATCTTATTAATACCTTTGAGACGAGTGGGGACATATTCTGGTGAGACCGATTTTAATATTTATGTAAACTTAAACATTTCTTAAGATAAAATAGTCTCGTGTAATAAAATTTATATCGATTTAAAAGTTGAATAATCCAAAAAAATATGTTTCCGTGAATAAGATTTTGGAAATATTGCATTAGATGTTAATTTTTTTTAAATTGACGGTGTAGGTACGAATACTTCATGTGACTCGCTGTATACATAAAAAAAAATAAATAAACAGAAGAAGTAAACTAGAGTGAAAAAACGATTCGAAGAAGAATTTGTTAATTTTATTTGTGCTTTCTTGTTTATTTTATTTAAAAATCTTTTTTTCTTTTTCTTTTTTTTTTTTTTTTTTCTTATTCTCACTCGTACGTAAAATTGGCCATAGATGAATAGGGATGAACGAGAAAAGTAGACGATAGGAGAAATAAAAACGATCGATCGATGTCAGCTAAGAAAGTCGTGAGACACCAATTTCCTTTGCGAACAGAACGATTATCGATGGATATAATATTGTATAATTATAATAGATATATAAGCTTATTGTATGATATGTAATTAAATTTGCACGTAAGTGATAACGTAGTCAGTTCGTGTGAATGGTCGTTAGGGATACTGGATCGATTCCTCCTTAACGTATACGTTATGTATACATCCGCAAAGAGGAGAATATGCGAATATTATTCATAATTAACGAATCACGGAGGAAAACAAATATTATATATATATATATACTATTGAAAGGATGGAAAACAAATATTATATATATATATATATACTATTGAAAGGATGAGCGTTAGCGAGAAAGAATAAGAGTGAGAAAAGTGTACCGATTGAGAAAGAAAGAAAAAAAAAATGTATAATTATCACTAGTAATATTATTATCTCTATAATAAATGTGCCATTTTTTCCATAACCATTAGCTTTAAATGATCTTTCGATTACTTCG